GGGCAGGGCAGGTCTGTGTGTGTGAGGTGGGAACATGGGGGGCAGAGGCTTGGGGCAGGGGTGTATGGGGTTGATAGCTCTCTCTCCCCCTCTGCACCCCTAGCTCACAGCCCCCCAGAAAGCCTTCCACATCGCCAATGAGCTGCTTCAGACAGAAAAGGCTTACGTCGCCCGGCTGCACCTGCTGGATCAGGTACCAGGAACTGGGGGGGCTGGGAACCAGGACTCCTGGGTTCTCCCCAGCTCTGGGAGGGGAGGGGGTCTGGTGGTTAGAGCGGGGAGGCTGGGAGCCAGGACTCCTGGGTTCTCTCCCTGGATCTGGGAGGGGAGGAGGTCTAGTGGTTAGAGCGGAGGGGCTGGGAGCCAGGACTCCTGGGTTCTCTCCCGGCTCTGGGAGGGGAGGGGGCTGGTGGGTTAGGGCAGGAGTGGCTGGGAGCCCGGACTCCTGGGTTCGCTCGAGGAGGGGAGGGGGCTGGTGGTGCTCACTGGTTCCCCCCCACAGGTGTTCTGTGCCCGTCTCCTGGAGGAAGCGCGCAGCAGAAGCTCTTTCCCCGGCGACGTGGTGATGGGGATTTTCTCCAACATCTGTTCCATCTACTGTTTCCATCAGCAATTCCTGCTGCCGGAGCTGGAGAAGCGCATGCAGGAATGGTGAGCGAGCTACGGGCCGGGGGGTGAGACGTCGCCGAGATGCAGCCATCTCTGGGGTGGGGCGGCTGGGGAACCGCCGCACATAACGCCGCATGGGGGACTGACTGGCTCCGGGGAGTGGGGACTAGGACATGGGGTGCCAGCTCTGATCCCCCCCATGCCCCTCCCAGGGACAGGCACCCCCGCATCGGGGACATACTGCAGAAGCTGGCGCCGTTTCTCAAGATGTACGGGGAGTACGTTAAGAACTTCGACCGCGCCATGGAGCTTGTCAACACCTGGATGGAGCGATCCGCCCACTTCAAGCTGATCGTCCACCAGATCCAGGTGAGGAATCCGGGCTCCCAGCCCCACTGCTCTAACCCAGTGGACCCTACTCCCCTCCCAGAGCCAGGGAGAGAACCCAGGAGTCCTGGCTCCCAGCCCCCCCTGCTCTAACCCACTAGCCCCCACTTCCCTCCCGGAGCCGGGGAGGGAACCCAGGCATCCGGGCTCACAGCCCCCCTTTGCAGATGGAGGAGGCCTGTGGGAATCTCACCCTGCAGCACCACATGCTGGAACCCGTCCAGAGGATTCCCCGTTACGAGCTTCTGCTCAAGGATTATCTGCAGCGCCTGCCCCCCGGCGCCCCGGACAGCCGGGACGCAGAGAGTGAGTGGGGCGCTGGGGTGTCCTGGGGGCCTGGCTGGGGGGCTCTGTGTTTGTCAGGGGGGCATGCTGGGCTGAGGGCTCTGTGTGTGTGTCTGGGGGGC